CCTGAAGGCCCCCTGCCATCCCAGGGCTCAGACATAGTCCCTACTCTCTCAGCACCTATCCTATTTTTCCATACCTTGCTGTTTATACAAAAGGTGCCTTTTGTGTGGCACCTGTGTTGAATGAAATTTATGTTCTTCAAAATCCAGCTCAAATGTCTCCCTTTCTGAGTGTCCTTCCCAGTCTTCCATCTGAAGTTAGCTTCATTCTATCTGAGCTCCTACAGTCCTGTAGTTACATATCCTGCACATTGTGTTTATGTACCTCTCTCAACACCTGTGAGCAGACTGAGGCAGACCCATGTCAAATCCCCAAACCCATATTCCCAATGCTTCACAGAAGGTGCCCAGTAATGTTTAATAGTTGAATGTATAAAGTAACTGGCTTTCATAGATAGACCCTCTCATACTTTTAGAAATCTCTGTGCATTCTTCTCTCCATACTTGTTTTTCCTGTGGTATTTTTTGAGTCCCTGTACATAATTCTGGAGTGTAAGAGATACCTATAGCTATTGTTTCTCATGGAAAATAGGAAAGAAAAATTACCATTTGTTGCAGACCTACTCTATTCATCCATCAACTTTATAATCCTGGTGTCCCCTGTATCAGTTGAGTTCAGGCTCCATGCCCCAGAAAATGCAAATTGAGCTGGCTTTAACAATAAGGGAATTTATCATATCTCTTATAACAGGACATATAAAGCTAGGGTAGCTCCAGGGATGCTGACTTGACAGTATAAACAAGAACCCCTTTCTTTTCTTCTCTGCCAACCTTAGCATATTTGTTTCTTTGTGCTAGGACTAGTTTACCTCATGGCTACAAAATGGCTGCAGTAAAGCCAGGCATAGCATCATGATATAACAATAATTAAGGGAAAGATAACTTCTCTTCCTTGATCCTCTCTTTAAAATGGAGGACAACTTTTCTTAGAAACTTCCAGAAATTTCCTCTCAAAGCTCATTGAGATTTATGACTAAAGGGATTGAGATTACCATGATTGGTTTAAACCAATTAGGATCTCACCTAGAGGCATATGAACGAGGGGTACATGCTGGAACAAAATGTGGAAAGAAGGAAAAGAGTAAAATAAATATTGGCCAGGAAACTAGCTGTGTCAGCCACACAGTTGTGGTAGAGAGAATTGTTTTATACTGAATTTTAGGGAGGTTAAGTCACTTTCATAATGTCCCACAGCTGATAAAAATAGCAGTAGGATTCAAATCCAGTTCTAACTCCAAAGCCCATCCATGTACTTTTTTCTGCTGCACAGCTGGACCCAGAGTCAGCCTGCATTTCCCAGAAAAGCCAAAGCCCCCTTTCTTGTGGTGAGCACGTCAGGGGTTGAGGTAATCACCCTGCTTTCCCAAGCCCGACCTTCAGCTGGGCATTTAATCTGTTTATTAAGTTATGACTAATGGCACTGCGAGACACCGAGGGCTGCACACTCAGACCTAGTTTTAGATTGTTAGAGGAGATTCAAGGGATAAACATCATATTCAGATTCTCTGCTGAGGAAATTCAATTGCAGCTCTTTCTCCTTCAGAGTGCAGGGATTGGCGAGGGGCTTCTGCTGGGTCCTGCTCTGGTTTAATAGAAATGAAACCTCCAAAGCAGGAGGGCTGTTTTGGGAAAATGGCCACTAATGCGGCCCCACGGGGCGGGGGCCAGGCCTGAACTGGGCAGTTTGCATATTCACTTTTACAAACAGTTGGCTCAGAGTCAGCAGTTAATGGGATGGGAATGATGTTCCTGTACCAAATCATTTCCTGAAAAAAACATTTCCAATTGCAAACATATCTCAGCCTTTCTTCTCTGGTTTGTTATGTCTCTGTGAGTGAATTAAATAGGCAGGGCAGAGGGGAATGTTTCTGACTGGGGATTTCTCATCTGAAAACATTTTAACAATGATCTACCTGTACAAAGAGAGCCTGTTCAGACCCACCTTTAGGAGTCCTGGCTGCAAATATTGCATTCCTATTTTAGAGATATAAATATCTCTATATTCACATACTGGCTCTCGCTGTGCAACAGTCTTGGGACAGATGCTTCTTTTCTGTCCTTACAGGATGTGAACACATACATGTGCACACACACATGTACACACGGGGTCAAGCCAAAATGTACCTTTATGTTTTCCTAAAGGTGAACTGTAATTCTTACATCCTAGACACTGCTTTAGCAAATTCTCCTTCAACTCCCAAGCTGTGCAGTTAAAGGTCTTAACAATTCAACTATTCATTTATTCAACAAATAGCTCTTGAGTGCTTATTATGCATAAGGTATTGTTTTAAGTAGCAATAGTCATAGCATAATAGCACATACTTACATAGTTCTTACCAGGCATCAGGCACTCTTCTAACCGCTTTACATAATTAGCTCATTCAGCCTTTTCAACAAGCCTAGGAGGTGAGTAATATTATCACTCCCTTTTTACAGATGGGAAAACTGAGGTGTAAGTGGTTAATGAACTGCCCCAAGGCCACATAGTAAGTGGGGGACCCTGGACTTGATCTAGGCAGTCCGGTTCCTCTTTGGGGATCTAATAGTGAACAAAAAAGTGGCAGTCTTCCTGCAGCTTACTTTCTGGCCAGGGGAGATAGGTAACAGATGTATAAATGATAATTATTTCAGATCATGTTGAATGCTATGGAAAAATAAAACATGGGAGGAAGGCAGGGACCAATCACTGGGGTTTTATTCTGAGTATGATGGGAAAGCTTCAGGTGGACAAATGTATGATCCTATTTACATCTTTACATATCATCCTAACTGTGATACAGGTGGCAAATGCTTCAGAAAGCAGTAGACCAGTTAGAAGGTGGTCTAGTCATCCAGGTGAAAGACAAAGGCAGCCTAAAGCAGGATGGTAGTGGTGGACATGGTGAGAAGTGGCTGGAATTGGGCCCTGGTTTGGGGGTAAAGGCCACAAAAATTGCTAATGTAGTGGATGGAAAAGGTAAGGAAAAAGGAGAAGGGTGATTCCTCAGATTTTGGCTTAAACCAAAAGTGTATCAGTGGTGGTGCCATTTACCAAAGGAGGTAAGAATAGGGGAAGGGCAGGTCCTGTTTTAGTGCTTGCTGGTGGGGGTAAGTGTATTGAAAGTCGTGAGTTGTGTTTTGGGTGTGTAAATGTGAGATCTCCATTAATAGACCTAAGAGGAGACATGGAGTAAGCCTAGAGCTTGGGATCAGACCAGGGCTGGTGATTTAAATGTGGACCTCATCAGCATTTGGATATAAGGGGACACCATCCAACCAAATTTCCTGTGATGGTGAAAATCTGCCTTGCTGCTGTCTGGTATGGTAGCCATCAGCCACAGGTGGGCCATCGAACACTTGAAATGTAATAGGTACAACTAAGAAATTGTTTTTTTAATTCATTTAAATTTTAATAGCCACGTGTGGCTAATGACTAGCATATTGGACTGCACAGACCTGGGGCACAAAATAGAGAAGATCCTGGGCAGGAGCTATTTTCTTCAGTGGCCAGTAAGCCCAGCCTTGCACCCACATGTAAGTGTGACTGTATTCCCATTGCTTCCTAAGTAATGGAAATTGTGCCTCTTTGTGAGAAACAACCTGGAAAAGAAAGCAAACTGCTATCCTAGGAGGAATATTAAAAGAAATTACAGAAGTCTAAGGAAGGAATTGTTCTTCACTAGAAAGCAAATGCAATCCTATACTTACAGAATCCTTTAAGCATTGAAAGTGTCACCTAATTGTTTCAGTTATATTTTATGAGGAGAATTATAGAGAGCAGTGGGTGTCTTTGACTTTGGAGATTCAAGACGGTGACTGGCTGTTATCCACCACATGAATGTCAAGAGCCCACGGCGATGGGACTAAATACCAGCTTCATAATGCAAGTTGTGTGTCTTTAGGGTAGAGCTGTTTCACTCTCTTTGTTAGGCAATCTCATTCCCGTCCAACTGCAACCATCAGGGAGTTTGTTAATATGAAAGAACTCTTTGTAAGCAGCTGCCCTGTGCTTAAGAGTTCTTGCAAGAATAAATTGCCATTGGTGAGGCCCGAGTCAATAAAAATATAAGATGGGACATTGCAGCTGCCATACTAGCTCTTTGAGAACCTTTTGGTGACCAGTGCCTCCAGAGAAAATGGTCTTTCTGTGCTTAATTGTGAAAAGTAATTATCCTAACTGGAATTGAACAGAGGTAAGGGATTTTAAGTCACTGCTTTTAGGTGGGGTATATAAGGTCAGCACTCAGCAAGTGGCCATCACACAACTGGTTTTTGAGACAGGAATATTTTTTTATTATGAACCAAGACTTCATATGGGGGGTGGGGGGTGGAAGAGAGCAGGCTGGAAGTCTTTAGTGGTCACTGACCCCTTTTTGTTTTTCTTAAGGAAAGTGGAATTGTAGGTTTCTGGGATTGGAAAACTGTAAAAGAACTTCCTGGTCATCCAGTCGACATCTTTATGTGCAGCTGAAGAAATGGGCCTAGGGAAGTGAGGTTCTTCTGAGAGCTGAAGGGGCTGGGCCACAGCCAAGGGAAGAGGCCAAACTGAAGCGCTCTCAGCCCCAGCTGGGGTGGGGTGAAGGAGGGAGGGAGGATAATCAGAAAAATACTCAGGGAAACCAAATCAGCAGAGGAGTTGGAGGAGGGTTGAGCCAAGGCTGGAAATGGTGTACAGCACAAATGTGGTCTCAGTGTGGAGACCTTGTTCACCAGGCAGCAAGCCCTTGCGGGAGGGGGCAGGCAGGAGGCAAAAGGCAGACTTCAGACGTCAGGGCCCACCTTGCTCCATTTAGTTCCAAGGTCATTTGTGAGAGGGGGCAAAGACGTCCCTATCACCCCAGGGAGCCCAAGTGAGGTGACAGAAGTGATGAGATGATGGGGACAGTTCCATCCTTTCGGCAAGGAGAGGCGGGGAATCCACTGCAGACTCAGTAACAGTTGCCACCTAGCAGTAGTTTTGTTTCATGTTCCACCTCTGTCGTCAGTGGGGTGTGCTGTAACCGTGTGCTTCCATCTCATTGCAGTATCCGAGCTTCAGGAGGAGGGCATGAATGCCATCAACCTACCCCTCAGCCCCATCCCCTTCGAGCTGGACCCTGAGGACACAATGCTGGGTAACTGGGACTCTTGTTCTCTGGCTTAGCCTAATGTTGTCAAGTGGAACCCCACTGACTTCCTTTTCTTTTTCAAGAGGAGAATGAAGTGCGAACAATGGTGGATCCAAACTCGCGCAGTGACCCCAAGCTGCAAGAACTGATGAAGGTGAGAAAAAATTACAAGGGGCTTCAGGTGCCTCCTGGCCTCAACAGGTGTCTCTGGACCTCCTGTTCTGTGTAGGCACCACATGAGCCACTGCAGAGAGAAAGAAGTCAGGGTGGGCTGTGTCCTCAGGCAGCTCATGGTCCAGTAGGTGGACATCTAAATTTAACAAAAGTAGAATGGGACAAATGCCCAAAGAATGGCATTGGTCACAAGTGTCAGAGAAGTTAGTGCAAATAAACTCACATTTGCCAGGCTCTTAGTGTTGGCATGTTCCCTTCACTGCTCTTCTCAAGACCCTCAGAAACACCGTGGGCAATAGGATCTAGCATCATCCCCATTTTACAGATGAGGAAAGTGAGTCTTAGAAAAGCCAAGCAGTTTATGGTCACAGCTGCACAGAGGAGGTGGAATTCAATCTGAAATAAATGAGATTAAATGGAATATTATATACTTGGCACAGGGGCTGACAGGTGGTCACCCCTTAAAAAAGTTCATTTTATCCCCGTTCAGATTTCCCATCCTGTGTTTTTCTTCAGTTTCACCAAGCTGCACTTAAAATGAGACAGAAAGGCACTGGATGCCCAAGTGATTCATTCAGAATACAGATCCAAATACATCATTTTCCTTCCTGCTCAAAACCTGTGTGTAGTTTCCTATCAACTACAGGTTGAAGCCCACACTACCTAATCCTCAGTTTTAGAGGCAGGAAATCAGAGGCTCAGAGCAGGTAACTAGCTGGTCACAGACAGATTCATATAGATCACAGAGGTCCACACATCAGTTAGTATAATGCTGAGCTTTCACCCCCAGTTTAAAGCCCGTACCTTTGCCTGGTAGAGAGCCACACACAGCCAGACCTGTGTGAATGGTGCCTGCCCTTAGCTTAAGGAAAGGTAGGGGCCAGAAGATGTGAGCAGGGACAGTGGGGCCACCAGCACCAGAAGGGCTTACACGTGAAAATTAACAGGGCCGCTGGGGCTCACAGTCACAGCTAGTTGTCCACATGCTGGGTTATGTGGATAGTCCTACTGCTGTCAAAACCTGATGCTCATTTAGATTTTAGTAGTCCGGGATAAGAAAGCTAGTGACACGAAAGTAGCCCATGACTCTTCTGTTATTCCCTCTCTGTAGGTATTAATTGACTGGATTAATGATGTGTTGGTTGGAGAAAGAATCATTGTGAAAGACCTAGCTGAAGATTTATATGATGGACAAGTCCTACAGAAGCTTTTTGGTATGTAAGCTTTTTGAACGTTGCCTGGATGTCTTCAAAATGCAAGTGGATGGATCACCTACTCCCAGTTAGAAGGCGCTGTTCTCAGTCACCTCAGTGCACCTGCAGTGTGGTGTGAACATGTAGCATGAGGGAAAGCAGACCGGCAGGACCTTTAGGTGTCTTCTTAGAATCTGTTTATGTGAATAAATTACAAGGAAAGTCTCAATGACAAGATGGGGCTCCTCCCTGAGTAGAGGGTCATCCCCTAGGTAGATGAAAAGATTCCACAGTATGGTGGAAAATGTGTCTCACCCTCTCCAGAAAAGCATATACTTGTGGCCTCAAGTAGGTATACTCACATGTGCATGGAGGTGTGTATGTGTTTGCATTTCTCAGTCACCTACAGACGTGTGTGTATAGCCATGAGTACGTGTCTCTGTGATCTGCGGACCTGTGTGTGCCCCTCTGTGTAGCCCTCTCTCCACTGGGTACAAGTATGTGTCCCTGTGACACTTGGCCAATGTGAGGCTGTAGGTGTGCTGCCTCTGGAAAGGTATGTATCCCTGTTCACAGATGTTCATGGGAAAATGTGAGGCCATGGGGAAGAGAAAGAATCCAGGGGTGATCTTAGTGCTGAAAGGACAAACTGGCTTGAATGACTTCGCACTTCGCCTCACTGTTCTCCATGTCCCTTGTTCCTGCCCCCTCAGCACCTGACCCCAGGCTCATCCACTTTCCTGAAGTTCTTTCCTCCCCTCTTCCTCATCACTCCTCCAAGGCCCATCCTTTATGCTCAAGATGCTCTCCTGCATCCACCCTTCCTGCCATTTTCACTTGTCTGAACTATTGAAAGAACTCTGAACCCACCTTTGCCTCCCATCTCACCTCCTCCAACCCATGCCCCACGCATGTCACAGAGGAACGTTTTCAAATCGCAAGTCTGATCTTGCCATTACTTGCTCTCTGCTACCTGTGGGACAGAGCCCAGGCCCGCCATTCACACACCGCTCAAACATTTCATTATCTGACCCCGAGTTATCTTTTCAGCTTCACCTCTGGCTGCTCACATACATGGCTGGTGCCGTGTAAAGTGCTAGGAATAGCGCTGACACCCCATGAGTGCCCAGAAACTGCTTTCACCATTTTCTCCGGTGGTTTCGTTGTTTCTCTGAGTGCCATGCTCTGTGATTACATATGTCATGCACGTTAACACCTCTGTACTTTTGCCCATGCTGTTTATTCCTTCTGCTCTGAGGCCTTTCTTCCTCTGTCCTCAAGGCAAACCACTATTTCGATCCTTCCAATCTCTAGAATCAATCCAATGTGCCTGCTCCCATGCTTGCATGTGACAACACAGTCACATGTAGACGCAACAGTCCTGCAGTCTTCAGTGTTCTCTCAGGTACAGACACACATACACACACGGGACATGCAGGCCTTTATGGTAAGACATTCCGTGTTGTTGTAGCTGTTTATATGGATGTATGTGGGCTTCTCAAGGGCAAAAACTGTGTCTTCATTTATCCGTCTGTTATTTATCCAGTCTTCTCCAGGACAAGCAGTTTGCCTAGTACTTAATTGATGTATACTGAATGAATGAATTATATAAAATCTAGTAATTTCCAGGAAGCTAAACTGATTTGGTACTCAAACATCAGTGTTAATGAGTAACAATATTTAAAGGCTTATAAATGCAAATGAATACAGAGAGGAAAAGAAAAAGCTTTGGCACATGTAGATGTAGAAGATCCTGGAGCCTCACTGAGCGTCTCTCAGTCACTGTAGCTTTTAACACCTCAGCAAATTCCCAGCCAGGATCTCAAGCTATCTTGAAATGTTCTACACTGGGCTTTCAAAACAAGGGTGGAACATGGCCAGGAAGCAATCTTGTCTCTGGGAACCACCGGGGAACTAACCAGCATCACACCAGTCCTCAGTGCCTGGCTCGGGGATACAGGCAGATCCCACTGGTTCAGATCTCCACCTCTGTGTGCAAAAGGCAATGCTGCTTTGTCACCTCAAGCTTAGACCCTTTGTGGATCTCAGGCTGCACAAGCACATTCAAAAGCTACAGGCAGGCTACCCAGGTGGAAAGAACCAGTTTGTAATTGAAAATATGCACCAGGAGCCCCTGGGAGGGATCAGTCTGGAGATAGAGTTTTGCATGACCCCTCTGACCTTTAGTTCGCTCTGTCTCTTTTTCTGCCTGCCTTCTTTCCTGACTGAGCTTCTCAAAAGCATGTTTGGCACTCACTGTGTCTGCTTCCCCTTCACTAATCATTCCCTTCCCAGGCACAGGCTGGGCACCACTCCACGTTTCCTTCCAAGGGCACCAATGCAAATTCTGTCTCCTCTTACGCTGTGGTACTTGTCACCACGGAACCTCTCCTCCCCCGCTCCTGGCCTGGTAGTCCCTGTGATCTCATGTTTTCCTGGGACCTTCCACCTCTGACACCTACTTCTCTGTCTTCATACACTCTTCCTGTAATGGTGGGGATGTCTCAATCTTCCATGCTTGGCCCTCCTCTTTTTCTTTCATATCTTCTCCCTGTATATGACAACTACTCCTACAGTTTACATATGTCATGCACGTTAACACCTCTGTACTTTTGCCCATGCTGTTTATTCCTTCTGCTCTGAGGCCTTTCTTCCTCTGTCCTCAAGGCAAACCACTATTTCGATCCTTCCAATCTCTAGAATCAATCCAATGTGCCTGCTCCCATGCTTGCATGTGACAACACAGTCACATGTAGACGCAACAGTCCTGCAGTCTTCAGTGTTCTCTCAGGTACAGACACACATACACACACGGGACATGCAGGCCTTTATGGTAAGACATTCCGTGTTGTTGTAGCTGTTTATATGGATGTATGTGGGCTTCTCAAGGGCAAAAACTGTGTCTTCATTTATCCGTCTGTTATTTATCCAGTCTTCTCCAGGACAAGCAGTTTGCCTAGTACTTAATTGATGTATACTGAATGAATGAATTATATAAAATCTAGTAATTTCCAGGAAGCTAAACTGATTTGGTACTCAAACATCAGTGTTAATGAGTAACAATATTTAAAGGCTTATAAATGCAAATGAATACAGAGAGGAAAAGAAAAAGCTTTGGCACATGTAGATGTAGAAGATCCTGGAGCCTCACTGAGCGTCTCTCAGTCACTGTAGCTTTTAACACCTCAGCAAATTCCCAGCCAGGATCTCAAGCTATCTTGAAATGTTCTACACTGGGCTTTCAAAACAAGGGTGGAACATGGCCAGGAAGCAATCTTGTCTCTGGGAACCACCGGGGAACTAACCAGCATCACACCAGTCCTCAGTGCCTGGCTCGGGGATACAGGCAGATCCCACTGGTTCAGATCTCCACCTCTGTGTGCAAAAGGCAATGCTGCTTTGTCACCTCAAGCTTAGACCCTTTGTGGATCTCAGGCTGCACAAGCACATTCAAAAGCTACAGGCAGGCTACCCAGGTGGAAAGAACCAGTTTGTAATTGAAAATATGCACCAGGAGCCCCTGGGAGGGATCAGTCTGGAGATAGAGTTTTGCATGACCCCTCTGACCTTTAGTTCGCTCTGTCTCTTTTTCTGCCTGCCTTCTTTCCTGACTGAGCTTCTCAAAAGCATGTTTGGCACTCACTGTGTCTGCTTCCCCTTCACTAATCATTCCCTTCCCAGGCACAGGCTGGGCACCACTCCACGTTTCCTTCCAAGGGCACCAATGCAAATTCTGTCTCCTCTTACGCTGTGGTACTTGTCACCACGGAACCTCTCCTCCCCCGCTCCTGGCCTGGTAGTCCCTGTGATCTCATGTTTTCCTGGGACCTTCCACCTCTGACACCTACTTCTCTGTCTTCATACACTCTTCCTGTAATGGTGGGGATGTCTCAATCTTCCATGCTTGGCCCTCCTCTTTTTCTTTCATATCTTCTCCCTGTATATGACAACTACTCCTACAGTTTTAGCCATTAACTATATGATACAGATTTGAGAGCAGTTATCTCCAGAACAGCTTTCTCTGAAGTGATATAAGGCATGCCTTTCCAACATGCCTAGCTGGATGTCACACCTTGTAACCAACTTGCCCCACAAGTCCATTCTATTTTTCACCTTGATGAATGATTTTATGACCCCATAGCCAGCTGCTCAGATTAGAAACCTAGGAGTCATTCTGGATTGCTCCCCTGTCCCTCATATTCTGTTAGTCACCAATTCTGACCACTGTACTCCCATATATAATGCGTCAACCCATCCCATCCCAATCAGGTAGTATGTGTGGGGCACTGAGAAAAGCGCCTGGCTCCCTAGGTGCTAGGTCAGTGCGCTTTTACCACTGCCCGCCAGCCCCACCCCAACGAAGCCACCTTAGCTCAGAATCTCATCGTTTTTCTTAGCTTCTCTGGCTCCCAAATCCTTTTCTCTGTTGCTGCTTCCTGCTCTGGTAGCGCTCTGAAGGTCTTCCAGATGTTCACTGTAGTTCACTGTTTGTCCTCACACTTAAACACACCCATAGGCCATTTGTCAGCATTCTTTTATTTTGTATGTTGAGCTAACTTTACACTCAACAGCAGCAGTCCAGGGAGAGTACAGTGTTCCTGTCTCCCTTTGCCCAGCTTCCTCTAATGTTGACATCTTACCCGAAGGACAAGTATCAAAACTAAGAAATCAACCTCTGTACAATGCTTACTGAAATTACAGAATTTAGATTTTGTCAGTTCTAGGATCTAACCCAGGACTCCAGCTTGCGTTCAGTTCTCATGTCTCCCTGGTCCTCTCCAGTCTGTGACGTCTTTCCTGACCTTGGCACATTTGAAGAGGACTGATTTGTTATTTTGTAGAACGGCCACCAATATGAGTCTGTCTGATGTTTTCTCATGATTAGATAGGATTATGGTTATACATTTTAGGGAGGAATAACACGGAAGTGATGTGTCCTTGGTATGTCATGTCAGGGAGTACCTGATGTTAATGTGTCTTATCCTTGGTGATGTTGACCTTGGATCCCGTGATGTCTGCCA